CAAGGATTCCATTGGTGGAATCAGATTTGTACTACAATTAGAAGTTACACAGAGTTACTTAATAAAAATTTAAAAAAATACTAATATACTGCTAATATAACAGTATGAATAGTGAGTTATACCTAAATTAGGTATAAAAGCTTTGGGTTATGACTAGAAAGTTTAAATGGGTAACTCTGTAGTTGAGTTGCAGGTATGGCAAATAGTGTGAAACCTTCAGGCAAACCACTTAAATTAGGCACCTGTGTGGCTAGTTGTACTTTTATCATAATTGTAATAAGTTTTGAATATTTAATAAAACAATCCCTAGTCACCTTAATAGTGAAAAAAAAATAATTATACTAAAAAATTCATAATGCTTTTTTTTTTAAAATGTGCTTATATAGAGAATTTTGTATTATATATTTATAGTTTGTTAAAAATAGATGTGCTTATAAAAAAAATTTTTATATAATATGCTTATATAGAGGATAACTATAAAGAGGTTTGACTATATATATTTTATTTTAAAAAATTAAATTATATTTTAATAAGAAATTAATTTATTTGTAGCCGTACTATCAAATATAATTTTTTATGGTCTCACCTTAAACATTAAAAAAAAAAAAAAAAAAAAAAAAAAAAAATATAGTTTTTTTATGTATAAAAAAATTTTGCAGCTGTAATTAGGGATAGTGTTAGGATTAAGGTTAGCGTGAGGGTAAAATTGCGAGAGAAGCATTTTTACTTAGTTACACAACAGGGTTACTCTAGTAAAATTTCGAATACGGCTACATATAATTTTCCTTTAATAAAACTTTGCATAATTTTTAATTATTTTTTTGTTTAAAAATATTCAGTTATTTTGTAACAATACTACTGCTTGTCGATCGACCTTAGACTTCCACCAAAACTCAGCGTTTACCCTTACCATGATTAGGAGTCCAAGGCCCTAAACTGTCATTAGCGTAAAAGTCCATTGGATATATAGGCTGCCAATTGACTTCATCTAATACAATAGATGCTTCATAAGGTGTAAGTAATGGTTTCGGAAATGCGTAACCCCAGTCAATCGATAGACGTGGACACGCTATTTGAATCCATCTATAATTTAATAAATGGGTTTATCAGTACTTCATGTGCATTAAATGAGTCAGAGAATAAATATTCATAACAAAACTCACGCATCAATATCTTGAAACTGCTCCAATTTGTCGGGAAATATTTCTGAAAGCAAGATACAAATATAATCTAACCCACGAGAACGAATTTTTTCTTCGAGATACTATTTAAACATAAATTTTGCTATCTATTTAGCACTTGAAACATGACTAATTAGATTTGGTTAGGAGTAGCGACGGATTGTTCATCGATCAAACAGTGACCAACTATGGTTTAATATGCAACAACTAGAGCTTCGTATTCGTTATTCGAATATTATTCGGCAAATATTCGAATAAAGAATCCGTAACTAATGATGAGCAACGCGCATGATCCGCGCGGTATATATTGTATAATTCGGGTCAGTTGCATAATTCCGGCCGGGTTCCAAAATATTCCGAGGTCGAGGTAAAAGTTGACCTTATTTCCGCAAAATTCCGAAATATAGTAAAAAAAAAAAAAGCTATCTCGCGAATCACGGAATTTTTAGAGAAACCACAGATTGCCCATCATTAGTAACAACAACGGTTTCAAGTCGGCGCTATCATTACGTTCAATGAATCTTTAAATACCTCCATAACCTTGGGACTACCTTGTCTACCCAAAGTTCCTAGGATTAACCCAAATTTTTTTGCCTTTTTAGCCAAATTTATCGCATGTTTACGAAGCGCGTACATGTCTGAATGGTCATAACGCTCTCGAGTAAATTTTTTTGAGTACGGATCGTACCTGTAGGAAATTGTTATTAATAAGTAAATTTTAAATGGATTAAAAAATTCGAATTCAAATTACCGAAACGATGGAACATCAGGATTGGCGATCATTATTGATTCTAAATGGAATCTTCCATCACCCAGATATCTAAAAGAACAAATATAAATAATTAAACATTATAACATTCAAATTTGTTTATAATGCAATAACTAAACTTCAATCGTATTGTTTACATTAAAGCATCTTGCTCGCCCAATTTTGGTGACGTACATCCCAAGATTTCTCCAGGTGACAGTGGTTTCGATTGAGGTACAAATAGAGAATAATCACTTTCTAAATGTTTTTTCACTGCCTGTATTGGAATTAGTTTTATGAATAGATATTATTTGATATTAAATATGAAGTATATTATATTAAGCCATAGTAACTTTATTTTACCTGAATAGCCGTAACAAATTGAATTGTACCAACAATTGCCAATTTTTTCCCTCGTTCGAAATTCTTTACTATAGTATTCAAGAAATGTTCAATATCAATTCCAATATCCACGAACACGTAAATCGTTTTAATGGTTGTAACATTCACAGGAACTATTTGGAATTTATTTACTTTAGGACTTAATCTTAAAAACGAACGCAAATTAAAATATTATTAAAGCAAAAGTAAAGTAACCTAAACAACTATGTCCGTAATGGACCATAAAATCACATCCTAACGCATTGGCAGTGAAATCATCTACGCAGCATGCACCATATGTAACGTCACCCATAATAAGTGTTTCAACGTTGCAAAATCTTATATCGATTTGGAGTAGAGAATGAACTTAATAAAAAATTTTATTACAAAGTTGTGCATTTGATAATCTAACCTTTCAAGTATGTCCGCAATTGTGCACGCAAATATTAGAAGACCTTCCGGAAACTGTAACGCGACTGTGTATTTGTTTAATGTGAAAAGTTTATGAAGCCATTTTGATTATATGTATGGTTTACATGAATAGGAAAAAAATTTTCTAAATTTCAGTGATTCAAACCTTTCTTTGCTCTTGAACGTTGAATCTGCCATACTGTCTTATGAATCTCAAAATTATAATTTGAAGGAAGCTTTTATTTTACGAGGATTGCCATTATGTTAATATTATATTAAACTTAGAATGCGAAAAACGAAAGGATTATATTTGAAACCTGTTCAATCGCTTTGTTTAATAACGAGTCATTTAGAATCTCGAGAGGAATTTGGTTTACAACTCGATTTGATTTTGTTTTATCTGACAATATGTAATTTGACAGTTATGATATCTTCAAAAAGCATCTTTGTATATTGAATGTTTTTAAAATGCAAACCCGTACCTACAGCTATTATCACATTATCTTCAATGTTACTTGTTTTCGCATCCTCTTGCTTTTTTTTTGTTGCAGCGGCTTTCCCTATAAACCGCTTTCGAGGTTTTGAAGAATCAGTGGTTTCTGACATCATCTGATTATTTTTTTTTTTTTTTTTTTTTAGATAATCTGATCGACCAATCAACAACGTTTATAAACGATGTTGAAAATTCACGTAGTTCTCCCTCTTTCACATTCACCGATCTTTTTATCGTTTTTTAACGAATAGAAATTTTGCCGCCAAAATGGTACTTTATAAAGTTGAAATTGAAAAATGACCATTATCAGTTAATTTAGAACTAAAATGCCAAAGTTTTGATGGATACCATACTTAATAAATATTTTTTGAAATACAGTCTGATGCGGCCGGTGTAACATTACGAACACGCAAATTCCTTACCAACCGTCTTTTAAATCGTAAACAATTTGTGGTGGATGTTATTCACCCTGGCCTTTCAAATTTGTCCAAAGATGACATTCGTGAAAAGCTTTCTAAAATGTATAAAGCCGATAAGGAAACTATATTCGTCTTTGGCTTTCGTACGATTTTTGGAGGAGGCAGATCAACAGGATTTGGTCTAATATACGATGATCTTGCTGCTGCTAAAAAATTTGAACCGAAATATAGGCTTGTCAGGGTAATTACGATGTGGAATAATTTCGAATTATTTTCTTAAAATTATTTAATATTTTTTCATAAATATTTCTTTTTAAAGCACAAACTTGCAGAACCAGAGAAAACCGCCCGAAAACAACGTAAGGAAAGAAAGAACCGCGCCAAGAAATTCCGTGGTACCAAAAAAGCTAAGGCTTCTACTTCTAAGAAAGAAAAGTGATCATGTTCGTAGTGATTTGGAAAAATCGGTTAAAGCTAATTTTTGGCTTAGCCAGCCGATTATTTTTTCAAAATTGTTGATCGAACTTCCTATAATAATAATAATAATTCATGCATAAGCTTTTGATTTTTACAAAAAGTTGTTTTTTTTTTTTGAGTCATACTTTCCTGTGTAATATCAGATATACTTTTATTATTAGAGATATAGTGTGTAAGCGATGTGCTCCAATAATTGTGAAAAGTGATCCAATATTTTAGTTAAGGTTTTTAATTAACGCTATAAAACGTAACCAGTAATACAGTTTTATTGTAAAAATCCGAAACACCTGCTCGACTTTTAGGTTTTTTCAGTTATCCCAATAAAAAGAATAATTTCATTTCTTTTAATTTGTAGTGATGCTTTAGATCCGTCTAAAATTCTAATAGTGTAAGGTTTCGCTGAGGTCAAAGATATTATTGTAATTTGAGTCACGTTTCATAGATCTATTATTTATATTATACCCTGGTCACTATAACAAGATCGCAGGGCATAAATCAGTTATACCCTGGGCACTATGTGTATAAGCGGGACTTTCAGCCCCGCTTATACCCA